GCTCGAACTCACAAACTGTGAGATCACGACCTGAGCCGAAGTCCGACGCCCTACTGACTGAGCCACCAGGCGCCCCTCAAAGACTCTATTCGTTTCTGGGATTTCTGGTTAGTTCTCTTTGTGTAGCTCCTGCTCTAATTCACCTATCTTCATTTTTGTTTGCGAATTTACCGTTTTTTGTTTGTGTGGCGGCTGCTGTCCCTTTCCTTGTCTTTCCGAGAATCTTGTGTTAAAGGCTTTTCCGGCTCACTCTTTCCCTTTCTTCCGGAGTGCACTCTCTGGGTGAGCCTGCAGGTTGCCTTTCGTAGTCTTGGCGTCTTTCGTCTTTCGTGTGCTTCGAGAGTTTTTGTTTCCGCGAGTTCATCTGGAATGAATGAAACTGTAACTCTCTCCCCACAGGGCTCACTTCAGCCCTCCGGAGAGTTCTGAGTGCGTCTGTCTCCACCCAGTGCACTCGTGAGGGTGACGTGAGCTGCTGTAACAATCAGGCCCCGAATCTCAGCAGCTGAATAACATAGAACTTTATCGTGAGTCAGTGATGGGGAGGTCTGGCGACACGGCTTCTACAATTTCCCTGGGTGGGCGCGTCCTGACACAGAAATTGGGCGAAGGTGGAGGGTCCCCTGTACTGCCTATTTATCCTACCTCTGTGCCCTGAAATTCTTCTGTGTGTGTGTGTTTGGTGAGTGGGTATTGATTATTGCAGGGAGAACCCACAGCGTGGGAACCAGGGACCTCTCACAGAGGGAGCCAGAGAGGGCTTGTGGGGGATCATTTTGGGGAGGCTTCTAAGAGGCTGGCCTGGCTCTCGATTCTGTGCCCTCGGGAAGGGAGTGACTGACCGGCCTCCTCAACCTTCCCCCTAGGGAGGAGGGGGGACCAGGAGGCGGAGGCCGAGTCGGTAAAGCAGCAGTGGTCACTCCTCCTGGGCAGGAAGGGGGAACGTGTGGTCCTCCGTAGCCTGGACAGTGTTCACGTCTGTCTCTGTGCTCAGACAGGATTACGGAGGGTCTTGGTTTCATCTTGACCCATCCCAGTCGAGGAGTGGCCTTGCCGGATGCGAATGTTCCGTGAAATGAATTTCGCTCTACGTGGTAACACCGGGGCCCAGCTGCCAACGCCAGGCCAGCTCCTGCTGTGGGGGCTGCTCTTCTCTTTTTGCAGCCCAGAAAAGCAAACAAAAACTCATTACGTGTTGGTCTACATCCATCTAGTCTTTCTAGATGTGTATTTTTATTTTTTTTTTTTTTAATTTTTTTTCAACGTTTTTTATTTATTTTTGGGACAGAGAGAGACAGAGCATGAACGGGGGAGGGGCAGAGAGAGAGGGAGACACAGAATCGGAAACAGGCTCCAGGCTCTGAGCCATCAGCCCAGAGCCTGACGCGGGGCTCGAACTCACGGACCGCGAGATCGTGACCTGGCTGAAGTCGGACGCTTAACCGACTGCGCCACCCAGGCGCCCCTAGATGTGTATTTTTAAATAGCGCGAGCTCCATCGGGTGTTGGATGTACGCGACGGATTGCGGGAATCTCCCGACGCCAAGACGACCCTGTATTTAGCTAACTTGATGATAAATTATTCGTAAATAATAAATAAGTAAATAGAGTGGGCTTCTATCGCATGGTTGACCATTTACCCATGTCAGCAAATGTGCAATATTCATTCATTGATTCATTCATTCCTAAGTATTTTCTGGGCTTGTGCCCCATGCCGGCAGTGTTCTTGGTGTTGGGGGGGGTGGGTACAGCCAGAGTCTCCCCCCCTTGAGCATCCTTTCTAGTCCCTAGTCTAGTCTCTCCTTTCTAGGGAGAGAACGATGTCCTAGGTCAGGTGGGGACAACTGGACAGATGGGCAATGTGAAGGGGACAGAGCTACGGTGAGGTGGTCAGAAAGGAGTCTGAGGGAGAGCCAGGGAGTGAGCTGCTGGCCGGCTGGGTGTGTCCAGGGGCAGGATGGAGGCAGGTGGCTCTGGGCAGGCTAGCGGAGAAGACTCGGGAATTAGCCTGGGCAGAGCCCGCCAAAGGGCGGCCCCGCTGACAGAGAGCGGATGACAGGACAGTGTGACCACTGGGCCTCTGCAGAAATCCCCAGGAGAGAGGGGAGGAGTAAGGGGCAGGTGGCAGAGCTTGCACGCATGTGCGCACGCACACACACACACACACACGCACACACACACCCCAGTGAAAGTTTGTCTCATCGCTGCTGTCTGATGTCTGTGTCCATGTTGACGGGCTACTTGTATTTATTTCTCCTTTTTCCAATGGCCTTTGAAGGGCTTCCACTCATTTTTCTCTTGGTCTCTCCCTCCTCCAGTGGACCTGAAGTGGCCGATGCCACTTTGTCACATGGTCTGCTTCTTTCTTCCCTGTTTATGTGCCCCGGAGATCTGTCTGTGGCATTCCGTTTCATGTTTTACCACTCACGGCCAAACGTTTTGCTTTGTCACGTCCTTTATCCCTGGCTTCTGTGGCCTCTGCCCCTTCAAGGCCGGCCTGTCTGCCAGGAAGCAGAGGCCTGGGCTGGGGCAGGGCCAGGGGTCATTGGGCTGCACATCCCGAGCCAGCCGGCTCTTGGAAGGAAGACAGCAGCGGTGAAAATCCACTCGTAGGCTTCCTAATCTCTTCTTTGGGTTCTTTCCCCTTCATGAGAACTCGTTTGGGAAGTGGCTTATTGCAGGTCGCCCGGAGGTGTAGAACGGGCCGCTGGACTCGGGTGGGCAAACTCGTCCCCAGCAAGAAACTTCCCGGTACTTTCCTCCGTGGGTCTCGTGATTATTTTTGTCTACCAAGAAAACCTGAAATTTACTAAGTGCTTTGAGGTTCTGTTTTAAAGTATTGTTCTTTTGAGGTTGTTTATTTTGAGAGAGAGAGAGAGATAGCACGGGTGGGAGAGGAACAGAGAGAGAGAGAGAGGATCCTAAGCATGTTCCTCTTTTCCAGCTTGGAGCCCGCTGTGGGGCTCGAACTCACGAGACGGGGAGATCATGACCTGAGCCAAAACCAAGGGTTGGATGCTCCATAGACTGAGCTCCCCAGGCACCCCGAGGTTCTACTTTAAGTGTAACCTGTAATATTTTCCTAGGGCTGCCCTAACAGGTACCACAGACCAGGCAGCTGAAACAGCAGGAATTGATTTTCCCAATTCTGGAGGCCGAAAACCCGACATCAGGGTGTGGGCAGGCTCCTTTCCCTCTCAGGGCCCTGAGGGGAAGGGTGTGCCCGGCCTCTCTCCTTGGAAATGTGTGGAGACCGTTTGCTCTGCGACAATTTAGGGAGGGAGGCGTTTACTGGCTGAGAGCTCCTTGCAGGCTGGGAGCTGCATTTCTGTCACCTGTGACGGAGTGGGGACACGTGCGTGACGGTGCAGGAGTCGTGGGTGTTTCTGTAGCTCGGGACTGGCCAGCCCCACAGAGGGGAGTCACGTCTGGCTTCTTCGGCCGAATCGTACTTGAATTGCTCGTGATTTTTCTAGCCACCTTCACGGGACCTGTCTTGCCAACTGTCCAGGTCTCGGTAACCTTGCACCTCGATAAATGCGCCAAGTCAGGCCTGATGGCTTGGAGAGAGACCCTGCTGCCCAAAGACAAGCACGTGCGTCTCACAGCCCGAAGGCCAATCCAGATAGACTAACACAATCAGCCGAAGGCAGTGGGATTGACCGGGGACAGCTCGCCCGAGCATCTGCAGAAGTTGCGACCTCACCCTGGGCCACTTAAAATCACAGTTGATATACCAAGTACACGCGGGGCCCGCTGTGGCGTCCTGCTCCGTAAATGGCCAGTGGAACCCCGACCCCTTCCCGAGGCATCAGATGGCACATTATTCCCTATATGAGTGCCTCCGATCCTTAAACAACACCGAGGGCGGTCCTTGCCATTTCTAAGGTTCAGAAACGTGAAGTCCTTGCCAAGGTCACCAAGCACACGCGTCCCACCAGAGCAGGGTTCAAGGCAGGCAGCCCTCTGGCCTGAGCTTTTGGCCACCGCGGTTTTAGACCGCCTCCGGGGGGGGCCACATCACCTGGCGACAGGTCCATGGTGCTGTGCTGGGGCCTGGAGCCGACCTATTCTGTCCCTATTCTGTCCCGGTGGCCGGTGAGGCGGCATGGGTGGTTGTGGGTGCACATGGCTGTGTGCAGTGGGGCAAGCACAGGAACGCCGGTCTCCTCGTCGGGGCACTGGCGGGAGCGTTGGGGTCGCCCTGTTCTCATGCTCCACGCTGACCGGTGGCAGTGTCTCTCCGTGGCTGCTGCAAGCTGCTCGTGGTGGAAACCCACTGCCCTCCCCCCTCCGCCCCCTCCCAGTTCCCAGACATCGTGGAGTTCAGCGAGACTATGGCCAACGCCGGGAAGACCGTGATTGTGGCTGCACTGGATGGGACCTTCCAGAGGAAGGTGAGTCGTCTGATCCAGGTCTTGGGAAGGGGTCTGGCGGGAGAAGGGGGCCCGGGGAGGAGCAGGGACAGCCCAGCTAGCCTTTGCTCTCAGCGCGGTGCCACCTGGATGACTGGGGCTTAGCCCGTGGGGGGCACTCTGAGCGGCTCAGGCTGAGCCGGGCACTCAGGTGAGCGGGACCCAGGCCCCCCGGGGTTTGCCTGGGAGCGAGTCCATCCCAGTCTGGGTGCTGGGGGTGTTGCAGGGGACGGCACTCTGGGGAAAGCAAGGTCAAGGCAAAGTGCCCCTGTGTCCGTGCTTGTGAGTCAAGGGGTTGCAAGGAAAGACCCGCCTGGGGAGGTGGATGCGCCCAGAGGCTGTCTCTCCCCCGGAACGTAGGCCTTCGGGACCATCCTGAACCTGGTGCCCCTGGCGGAGAGTGTTGTGAAGCTGACGGCGGTGTGCATGGAGTGCTTCCGCGAAGCCGCCTATACCAAGAGGCTGGGCGCGGAGAAGGAGGTAGCCGCCACCTGCCTTCTCCAGGGGTGGAGGGGGGAGGGTGGCCCGGAGGCGCCCCGCCCCGCCTCAGCCCATGGCTCTTTGCATCCCCGCGGCCAGGTCGAGGTGATCGGGGGCGCAGACAAATACCACTCCGTGTGCCGCCTGTGCTACTTCAAGAAGGCCTCGGGTCTGCCCGCCGGGCCGGACGGCAAGGAGAATAAGGAGAACTGCCCGCTGCTGGGGAAGCCAGGAGAGGCCTCGGGGGCCCGCAAGCTGTTTGCTCCGCATCAGATCCTGCAGTGCAGCTCGGCCAACTGAGGTGTGGGCGCCTGGGGAGCGCCCGCTCCCTTCCCGCTGCCGCCCCCTGGCGGATGCTTGCAGGACTGCCCCCGCCCTCGTGCGGCGCAGCCTTTCCAGAAGAGGAAGTGGAGGGGGGTGGGGTGCGGGGACGGAACTTTCGGCGGTGCGCTTTCCCCGGGCTGGTGGTCTGCACGTCCCGTTTCCCCTTTCCTGCCCGCCGGCGCTTTCTTGGTTCCCTTCCCCGCTGCGGATCCACTCCTGAGCTCAGGGTCTGGCCACCCACCGCGGACACCCGCCCCCTCCTCCCGTGGGGTGAGGGGCCGAGCCACACACTGGCGACACTACCGCTGGCCGCTTCTTCCCCCTTGTGGCTTTCACTGTTGAGTTTCTGTTCTCGCTGGGAAGTCCGTTCCCCAGTTGCTCCGGCTCAGCACAGTGTCATCCCACGCAAAAATTTCTGTTGGCCTGGAAAGGGCTCCTGGTCCCTCGGGGTGGCTGGACTTGTGCCTTCTGGCTTCCCTTTGGGCTAAAAGCTCTTCCCTCTCTCTGGTGGTCATTTTCTCCAGAATTACAGCTTCTCTCATAGGGGGGACACTTACCCTAGTGGGGCCCAGATCCCAGGGGCTTATCTTTTAAGGGGGGGGGG